GTTCCCCCGGGACCCGGTGTCCGGCCTGTTCACCCTGGACACCGTGACCCCCCCGGCTGGGGCGCCCCTCCAGGTGGCTGCGTCTTCCCTGGTTGCTGCTGCCTGCTCGTGTCGGTCTCTCACTCACCCGACTCTCCTTTGGCACCACCGCCTAGGTCACCCTGCGCTCACGCGTCTGCGTTACATGTCCCAGCACGGTCTCGTCCTTGGTCTCCCTGGTTCCCTTCCCCCTTTTCCCTCCTCCCCCGCCCCGCCTTGCACTCCTTGTGTCGAGGGTCGGCTTCGCCGTGCCCCCCACTCCTCCTCGTTTCCCCCTACCCCCGCGCCACTGCAGACCTTGCACATGGACGTCTGGGGCCCCGCCCCCGTTCATGGGCCGCGTCGAGAGCGCTACTTCCTCGTGCTTGTCGACGACTTCACTCGCTACACCACAGTCTTTCCCCTGGAGCGGAAGGCCGACGTGCCGGACTCCCCACAGCAGAATGGGGTCGCTGAGCGATGCATCGGCTTGCTCATGGAGGTTACTCGCACCTCCATGATCCATACCGGTGCTCCCTATTTTCTGTGGCCGTTCGCCGTGCGCTACGCTGCTCACTAGCTTAACCTGTGGCCGCACCCCCAGCGGCCGCAGGTTTCGCCGAACCGTCTTTGGACCGGGTCTCTTGGTGACGCGTCTGCGTTCCACATCTGGGGCTGCCTTGCTCACGTTCGTTCCTCGGGTCCTTGCCTCTCTCGTTAACGACCCCTCTGTTCCGGTCTCGTGCCTTGACGCTCTTGTCGCTGCGGTCGCTGACTTCGCCTCTACCCGCCGCCTTGACTACGCCACCGCTCTGGTCTCTGACCCTGCCTGTCCTCCGTCTGTCGGGGGTGCTCCTGCCCTCGGCAGTGACGTCCCGGAGTACCGCCAGTTCGAGCTTGCTTTCCTGTCCGAGGCTGCTCCCCATCTCTGTTCCATGCTGCTAGTCCCTGAGGGTGACCCAGACGCTTTCGACATCCCGACCCCTCGCACTTACGCTAAGGCGACCTCGGGACCCTGGGCCTCCCAGTGGATAGCTGCCATGGAACAGGAGATGGCATCTTGGAGATCCACCGGCACCTTCGTCGACGCAGTTCCCCCACCTGGGGTGAACGTAGTCGATGGTCGCTGGCTCTTCAAGGTGAAGCGCCCCCCTAGAGAGCCGCCTGTGTTCAAGGCGCGCTACGTGGCTAGAGGCTTCAGTCAGCGTGAGGGGGTGGACTTCTTCCAGACCTTCGCTCCGACCCCGAAGATGACTACTCTTCGGGTTCTGCTACACCTTGCAGCTCAGCGTGACTACGAGCGTCACTCTCTCGACTTCTCCACTGCCTTTCTTCAGGGCAGCCAACACGAGCAGGTCTACCTGCGTCGCCCTCAGGGCTTTACTGGCACCTTCCCTCCTGGGACCCAGTGGCTCCTGCCTGCGGTGTCCCGTCTACGGCCTGCGCCAGGCTCCCCGTAAGTGGCACGACACTCTCCGTGCTACTCTTGCTGACCTTCAGTTCTTTCCGTCCTCGGCAGACCCCTCACTCTTCGTTCGTGCTGGCCAGACTCCGTTCTACATCCTTGTGTACGTGGACGACCTGGTCTTTGCCACAGCAGACAGGGATGCACTGGCCTCCGTTAAGGCTGAGCTGCTGAAGAGACACACTTCGACTGACCTTGGAGAGCTGCGCCGTTACTTTGGCCTGCAGATCTCCAGGGACAGAGCAGCGCGCACCATTACCCTGACTCAGTCACACTTGGTGCGCCAGGTCCTTCAGAGGTTCGGCCTTCAGTTCTCCTCTGCACAGCCCACCCCTCTGCCTCTAGCCCACAGACTCTCTGCCCTAGTTCCTGAGGAGTCTGTAGAGCCCAGTGGTCCTTACGCAGAGCTGGTGGGTTGCCTCTTGTACCTGATGACTTGCACTCGCCCAGATCTTGCATACCCTCTCAGCATCCTGGCTCGCTTGTTGGCCACTGCCAGACACCGACCGCAGCACTGGTCTGCCGCTAAGAGGGTTTTGCGTTATCTTGCAAGTACATCGGGCATGGGGTTAGTGCTAGGAGGACGCAGGCCAGTGGTCCTTACTGGACACACAGACGCTTCGTGGGCAGACGACGCTGAGACACTCAGGTCTTCCCAGGGCTACTGCTTCAGCCTTGGTTCAGGTGCCGTCTCGTGGAGAGCTACCCGCTCCTCGTCTGTTGCCCAGTCCAGCTGTGAGGCCGAGATCTACGCCGGTGCCATGGCGGCACAGGAGCTCCGCTGGCTGACTTTCTTACTCACTGACTTAGGTGAGCGGCCTAGCTCTGCCCCAGTCCTGTACGACGACAACAGGGCCATGATCCTCCTGTGTCAAGAGCCTCGACTCGAGGGCAGAGCAAAGCATATTCAGCTGCGGTACTTCCTCCTGCGCGAGCTACAGCAGCGCCGCCAGGCTCGCGTAGTACACCTGGCCTCCGGTGCCAACACAGCTGATATCTTTACGAAGGCGCTTGCGCCTAAAGATCATCAGCGGCACTGTGTACAGCTCGGTCTAGTTCCTGTAGCCTCTTACTTGCTAGGACCTTGACTTTGTACTGCCCTTTATATATATATATATATATATATATATATATATATTTGTACTCAGACTAGACTTGTGTCCTCTACCAGTGGTTGGACTAGTAGTGCTGCCCTGAGCTGCTTGTTCAGGAACTGCCCCTATACAGTCTAGGGGGTGTGTCAAACATGTGTATCTCTTATACTTTGCGTAGACTGTATAGGGTCATCTCTTAGAAGGTACAACACTGAGATATATTCCAGTACTCTCTCTCTCTCTCTATTCATTTATTTAGTTCCTAAGACAAACCCCTCCTTGTATGCCTCTCTCTTTCTTCTCCAATCACTTTTTCTCTCGACACTTTTCGTACTCTCCTAGCTAAACCCCACCGCCACTTTCATGGCGGCCTTCACTACCTCCTAGCCTAGTACTAGCTCTTCGACATGGTTTCAGAGCAGGTGACCGTTTACGGGCCTGCTCCCCACGCTTCCGCCCCGTACTTGTCTTTTGCCTGTCTTCGTTTCGTGCCGCTGATGGCGGCCTTTAGTTTTCCTGCCGCCGTGGCGGCCTGTCCTTTCCGTGCCGCCGTGGCAGCCTCTCCGAGATGCCGCGTCGGCTTAGTCGTGCTACTGTCGCACCTCCGCCTCGCCGCCGCGGCATCGACGTCGCGCTATGGCGGCATCTTTTGGCTGCTGTGGCGGCGTCGTCGGGCGACAGCCGGCCGCGCATCGTCAGTGGTGCCGCCGGACCTGCCGCCCGCTCTGCAGCCGCCGACGTGATTCTGGACTACGCCCCACTCCCCCCCCCTTTCCTTCCCCTCCGTTCCCCCTTCCTTGGCACAGTTGACGATTGCCTCGTGATGGCCGTCCCCGTCGCCCAGGAGCCTAGCCATGCCGCCGAGAGGGCGGGGGCCGCTGCAGTAGCCTCTGACGATTGGAGCCGCCGCCGCCGACGCCGACGCCGCTGTTGTCGCTGGCCTGCTGCTACCGCACGCCGTCGCCGACCCCGCTCTCGTCACTGCCGCCGCTGCCGCCATAGCCGTCTCCCGGGCCGTGGGACTGGACTAGTCCCGACGGCATCTCAGCTGCTGCTAGGCATGGGGGGTGTGGGGGTGTGTGTGTGGGCTTGACACTACCAAGCCTAGGGGGTGTGTTAAAATTATCTATGTTATAATTTATATAGGCTTGGTAGGTTGTTATTGAACCTTTCTGTAGAGGGTACAAACCCCTCCTTGTATGCCTCTCTCTTACTTCTCCAATCACTTTTTCTCTCGACACTTTTCCTACTCTCCTAACTAAACCCCACCGCCACTTTCATGGCGGCCTTCACTACCTCCTAGCCTAGTACTAGCTCTTCGACAATTACAGTACCGGTGGTTATCCGAGTAGCCTTATCGAGTCGTAAAGGGGAATGTACCCCTTGAAGTGCACAAATAGTTAGACTCTTCATATTATCATGTATTATTATATAAACCTTCTAGCCCATTGCTATAATCAATCACTTCTCATATACCAATACAAGGGTTCAACTCAAGACTTCTGCTGTGCTATCAAGCACTTTGTTACAAGGACTTTGACTTCTGAAAAGATTCTTGGGCTAATTCTCAACCCAGCAACAATGATTACTAAGTCTTCCGTTGACTTAAAGAAAAATGAATCCTGGTCCCTGGTCAAATCTCCATATAAGGATGTTACTTCTACAGCAGACGTATATTCTCTCTCATGCATAGAAAGACTTGCATGATTCACCTTTTGCACTTGATTTGCATTAGTATATTGAAACAACTTACATAATAATATTTGATCATCCATTTCCCTATTAAGAAGAAAGTCGAGTCATCGTTTTGTCTTGTAAATCCCTTCGTCATCAAAACACCTCACCCAGCCAATCAGGCTCACCCGCGCGGGCCTCCACCAAGCTCTGTGCGATGGAAGTGGGAACTAATAGACGGGCAGCAACTCTCTTTCTGAAACCTTTTCTGGGTCACATACGACTACAATTTGAATTTCTCGGATGTAGGAGCTCTCCTATCACGCGGCCCTGGCTTGATATTCCAACTTTGTATTCTGGAACTTCTAGAGCTCGAATCCTAAATATGTTTAGCAAGCAATTCCATCGCCGAATGTTGAGTAATCATTTTGATCTGCGCGGAACATTTTTGCTGAAAATCACCAGCATTTTTCCCTCGCCACTGCCTAAGACAAGAAGCTCCTGAAATATGAAGGCGCGTTTCTATTTGGTGTCATCCCAGGATGGGGTCATCCGAGATAGCTGGAAACCAATTGCATGCTGTGAATTTTCAGCAAAACGCCCGTGATGGATTTTCCAACTTTCCCGGATGACACCAACTCGGAATGATACCGACTAGAAACACGCCCTAAACAGCTCCACTTGTGTCTGTACAGAAGCAGTTATCCGTGGTAGGTCAAAATCAGGTCTGGGCGCCCACCGAGGGCACAGCTGATGAAATATTTTTCGTCATCCGTTTACATACTTGTCGCATTGCTTTCGTCAGGCCTCGATCCCATTCAATCACACCAAACTCTAGAATCGCCAAAACAACATGAAGCGACGCATTCTGCTGCTCCTCCTCTGCGTGTTACTAGCGTCCCCCGCCGTCGTTACCGCGCGTCGCCGAAGCTGCCCGAGGAGCATGCAGTGCAGCGCGTCCACGAGCGGGTACTTTCTAGACGGTCCTAACGGTCACCTGTCGATCCAGTACACGGGCCGCGGGCCGTCCAAGCCGCAATCGTGCAGCCATCTGTGCAAGACGACGGAGAATTGCACGTGGTGGATGTACAACATGCTTAGGGCTGACGGTAAGTGAAACGCTTAGCGTTGCTTATGGTAAGCAACAGGTTTAGGACGGACTCAGAGGCGTCTTCTGTTCCTATTCTATCGTTTGATCAGCTCAGCATGCCTGTGGTTGATATTTCGCTGGTGAGAGATACCTTCTGTTCCTTTTTGGAAGCAGTTTCCGCCGGTATTCACCCTTGCAAGTCCCTGTAACTTCCAATTGGGGCGCAAAACTGTGCCGCGTTGTGATAGTTAAGTGCCCGTTGAACGACCCACTCCTCCCGTCCCCCTCACATCCCCCCAAACCCTCCCCCACCCCCAACCCCACCTCCCCCCTCCCCCTGTCCTCTCCCCTTTTCTTGTCCGTCATGGTCTCTCTCTCTCCCCCCCTCTCTCACCCCCCATCACTACGCCATACCCTCCTGGTGGCTGTGCTTCTTTGCAGGGCGTGGCATGCGCAGGGGAGTGCAAGTTGTGGACCGGGGAGCAGAGCCGTGGTAACTGTCGATTCGACTCAAAAAGAACCCTCCTGATCTCCCTTGCAACGCTATTCCGCGGCGTGGCATGGCATGCGCAGGGGAGTGGAAGATGGTTTTGAGGCTCCTCAAAACTCGACTCAAAAAGAACCCTCCTGATCTCCCTTGCAATGCTATTCCACGGCGTGGCATGGCATGCGCAGGGGAGTGGAAGATGTGGACCGAGGAGCAGAGCCGCGGTGACTTTTGAGTCGACTCAGACATACCTCTTGGTCCCCCTTGCAATACTATTCCGCGGCGTGGCATGGCATGCGCAGGGGAGTGCAAAATGTGGACTGAGGAACAGAGCCCGTGCATCCCGGAGAACACGTCAGACCCCGAGACGGCGCGCTTTGACAACACGCCCATTGGCTGGACCGTAGTGGGCGGCCCTTGCCAATCAGACGCCATGAACGTCACGCAAAGTACACCCCCCTTCCCCTCTACTTCCTCCTCTCCTTGCTCTTCTCTTCTATTCCTCTCGCCTTTCTCCTCTTCCTCCTCCTCTCCTTCCTTCTTCCCTTCCTCATCTCCTTCCTCCTCTCCGCCTTCCCTCCGTCCTCCCTGTGTGCAATCAAGCCTCCCACCGCCTCCTCCAGTCCGCCACCTCCCAGATGTCTCATCCCATCCCCTCGCTTTCTCCTCCGCGCGTCCATCCATCTCCATCCGTCTCTTCTGGACTCCTCTCTCCCTCATGTCCTTCCGCTTCCACTGTGGCACTGTGCACTGCTTGGGCTTCTTGCTATTTGGGTCACTGGCCTCGCAGTCTGTCCTTTTCTCGTCCGCGGTCCACCTCGACTCTCGTACCACCTCACTGCCAGCATATCATCTAAGATTCCATCCTCATCCATCCTCACCCATCCTCGCCCATCCTCACCCATCCTCACCCATCCTCACCCATCCTCATCTGTCACCCCTATTCCATTCCACATAATTCGCTCGCAGTTTTCCTGCACCTACCCTCCCTTGCCCTTCCCATACTCCTCCCACCCCACTTCCCTCGTCCTCTTCCCCTGGCCGCCCACCAGCTCTCCTTCCCCCAAAACCACCCCCCCCCCCCTTTTCGCCCCTCCCCCCTCCCAACCACCGTCCCCCTCCCTCTCCAGAGTTCCGCCGCGGCAAGTGCCCCCCACTCACCTGCAACTCCCCAAGCCGCGGCTTCCTATGGGACCACCCCCACCTGGGGCACCTGCATTCCTTTGCCACTGGCCGGAAGAAGCGCCCTCATTCATGCTTCATGGCGTGTATGGAGACCCCGGGATGCGGGTATTGGATGTATGACCTGCACTCGAACCACGGGGATTGTGTGCTGTGGGCCAATGAGCAGAGCCCGTGCCTGCCCGAGCCGGGCAGGGGGGACGACTCCGCGCATTATGACCCGCTGCCCACGCATAGCGTGTTTGTCGTGGGGGGAGGGTGCAACAGCGGGGGGGATCTCCCGAACCAAGTTTGAGACTGGTTGCTTGGCTGGTTGGTTGGTTGGTTGGATGGGTGGTTGGTGGGGGAGCCTAGTTTTCTGGATTGCAGTTGCTGAGTGGCAGTGGTATCATATTGTGGAGTGGTGGTTGTAATGTTAGGGTCAGACAGGTCAGCAGGGGGTGCCTGTGCTGTAACTTGTACGGTATGTACCAGGCGCGCCGTATATGTTTGTGTTGTACTGTAATCGCCATACTGCTGCTCTCGGAATTTTGTAATCACCATACTACAGCTGTAATCTCCAAAGATTGCATTTGGGCTAGTATTTTGTGTCAACTTATACATATTATCTATGTAGAAGTAATAGGCTAGACTGAGGTATGCTTCTAGTGAGTACAACCAACTAGTATTTGTTCTAGGTTTCCACCTCTAGTCATTATTCGTTCTCACTTTGACATGGTATCACGCGTAGGTTAGCATCCCCCACCTACCGCTTCCGCCCGTACCCTAGCTAGGCCACGTCGCGCCTCCTAGCCCCGTCGCGCCTCCTAGCCACGTCGCCCCCCCCCCCCCCCTCCTCGGCCACGTCGCGCCACCCTAGCCCCGTCGCGCCACCCTAGCCCCGTCGCGCCCCTCCTGGGCCCCGTCGCGCCTCCTAGCCCCGTCGCGCCCCTCCTGGGCCCCGTCGCGCCACCCTAGCCCCGTCGCGCCACCCTAGCCCCGTCGCGCCCTGCCTGGCCCCGTCGCGCCCTGCCTGGCCCCGTCGCGCCCGCTCGGCCCCGTCGCACCCTGCCTGGCCCCGTCGCGCCCGCCTGGCCCCGTCGCGCCCTGCCTAGCCCCGTCGCGCCCTGCCTGGCCCCGTCGCGCACCCTTGGCCCCGTCGCGCCCTGCCTGGCTCCGTCGCGCCCGCCTGGCCCCGTCGCGCCCTGCCTAGCCCCGTCGCGCCCTGCCTGGCCCCGTCACGCCTGCCTGGCCCCGCCGCGCCTCCCTGGCCCTGCCGCGCCTGCCTGGCCCCGCCGCGCCTGCCTGGCCCCGTCGCGCCTTGCCTGGCCCCGTCGCGCCTGCCTGGCCCCGTCGCGCCTGCCTGGCCCCGCCGCACCTGCCTGGCCCCGCCGCTTGGCCCCGTCGCGCCCTGCCTGGCTCCGTCGCGCCCGCCTGGCCCCGTCGCGCCCTGCGTAGCCCCGTCGCGCCCTGCCTGGCCCCGTCACGCCTGCCTGGCCCCGCCGCGCCTCCCTGGCCCTGCCGCGCCTGCCTGGCCTCGCCGCGCCTGCCTGGCCCCGTCGCGCCCTGCCTGGCCCCGTCGCGCCTGCCTGGCCCCGTCGCGCCTGCCTGGCCCCGCCGCACCTGCCTGGCCTTGCCGCGCCTGCCTGGCCCCCGCCGCGCCTCCCTGTCCCCGCCGCGCCTGCCTGGCCCCGCCGCGCCTCCCTGGCCCCGCCGCGCCTGCCTGGCCCCGCCGTGCCTGCCTGGCCCTGCCGCGCCTGCCTGGCCCCGCCGCGCCTGCCTGGCCCCGCCGCGCCTGCCTGGCCCCGCCGTGCCTTCCTGGCCTCGCCAGCACCTGCCTGGCCCCACCGCACCTGCCTGACCCCTTCGCCCCGGCTCGTCCTACCGTGCCGCCTCGGGCTCCGTCTCCTCTGCTCGCCCGTGCTGAGGCGCTTCGCGGCCGCCGTGCTGGAGGGGGCTGTCGCTGTGTTCCTGTGGAGCTGTCCCGCTGACCCTGCACGATGGCGGACTTCGTGCTTCGACTGGACGCCGAGGGCCATGCGGTTGACTTCGCCGCCTGGCTCTCCGATCTCCGCCGCCACCTTACAGGTCAGCGCTAGGATGGCCACTCTTTGGTTGTCCATGTCGACGGCTTGCTCCCCCGTCCCCCCGCACCTGCTCCCCTCCCTGCTGATCCCTCCTCTGATGACCGTGAGACCTTCTCTACTGCTGCGCTTGCCCGTGCGGTCTGGGACTCCCGCGATGCAGTCGCTCAGGTTGCCATTAGCCACGCCCTCCCTGTCTCTGAGCGCTCGCGTTTTGCTACTATTGAGACGGCCAAAGCTTACTTAGACGCTGTTATTGCCCGCTATTCCACACCCGCGTCTGCTTCTGCTGGTCGCCTGCTCTTCCCTATGCTTTTCCCAGACCTTGCAGCTTTCCCTACCGTCGCAGACTTTGCCACTCACCTGCGTGCCCTAGAGACCCGCTATCGCACTGCCAGCACTGCTGCCCAGCTCACTGCGCTCCCCCCCCTTTCTGCATGACGCTCTATTTTATCGCCATGCGCCTGCCAGACCGCCTCGCTAGTGCTCGCGATCACTTTCTTAGCCAGCACCCGGGTGACCTCACTCTCACTGACTTTGTCGACACCCTCACCGAGATCGAGACTCGCCAGCGCACTATCGCTCAGTCGAGCGGTGCGCCGGCAGTTTCTATCTTTCACGGTTGTGCCCCCTCCCAGTGTGCGTTCACTGACGTTTCGGCTGCGGTCGCCTCGGCGGCCCCTCTCACCGAGTCGGCTGGTGCGGTCCACCCGCAGCAGCGCTCGCGCCGCGGTGGCCGTGGTCGCCAGGGGTGTCACAGGATCGAATGTGTCGAGGAAAGGTTGCACTATCGATCAGTACAAGGCGCTTTTATACTTCCAGAGTACATCAAGTAACCAGGTTTATCCTATCTAAAGGAATAGACCCTTCTAGAAAATAGAATCACCCTGCGTATAGCCACGCGAGGCTATTGGCTGTAAGAGATTACGACAGGATTACGCTAGATAGCGTGTCTAGAACATTCCATGCTTGGTCGGGGATATAATTAGAATAAGGGAAGAAACCAAAGGATAATGGAAAATGGGGAATATGAGGCAAAAGGAGATGAGATAAAAAGAGGAATGAAATGAAGATGAAATATGGAAAAGGCCAAGTGGTGTAACGGAGTCGTACTCTCACACGTCCCCCCCTCAAAGCTGGGTGGTAGAAGTAACACCCTGCTTGACAAGGTAGTCATGCAGAGGACGACGGGCGTTACCCATGTCGGTCTCAGAGACCCAGCTGTCCTCAGAAGGATCATAGCCCTTCCAACGAATAAGAAGCTCCACGTTGCCATTCCGACGACGGCGGTGTGCAAGCACGGACTCGACCTCGTACTCGGGTTCATTTTGGACGAGGACGGGTGGCGGCGGCGGCGGTTGGCGTCCGACGAAGACCGTGTTAGGATCTCGGTAGGGCTTTAGAAGATGGACATGGAAGGCGTTGTGAATCTTCCAGGTAGCTGGTAGGCGTAAGCGGAAGGTAACAGGAGTGACCTGTGCTTCAACGAGAAAAGGCCCGCAGAAGCGAGGTCGAAGTTTAGATGGGAGATGGCTGATGTCCAGGTTGCGGGTGTCAAGGAGAACCTGGTCTCCCACGGAAATGGTGTGGTCGTTGCGATGGCGATCGGCCTGGCGCTTCTGTTGCTGTTGAATGTCAAGGAGGCGCTTATGGGTCCGATCCCAAAGCTGATGCATGGTTGTGATGAAGTCGTGTGCAGGTTGGACTGTTGCTGGTGTTGTCGGTTTCTGTGGTGTGAGTGGGTGGCGTCCGTAGCAGAGGAAGAACGGCGTCTGTCCCGTAGCGGCGTGTGTAGCGTTGCTGTAGGCAAACTCCAGGACGGGTAGGTGCAAGTCCCATTTGGAGATGTCGTCCTGGCAGGCTGCTCGGAGGAGTTGCTCAACAATTTGGTTGAGGCGCTCGGTCTGTCCGTCTGTCTGCGGATGGTATGCGGATGACATGGCGAGTTTGGTGCCGAGCAGAGACATAAGTTCCTTCCAGAACTTGCTAGTGAACTTGGGGTCTCGGTCGGAGATGAGTGTAGTTGGGATGCCATGCTGTGAGATGATGTGACGAACGAAGAGTTGTGCTGTCTCCTCGGTGCGTGCCGTCGTGTGCGTCGGGATGAAGTGTCCCATTTTGGAGAACTTGTCAATGACGACAAGGATGGCGTCATGACCGCTGGAGGTAGGTGGTAACCCGGTGATGAAGTCTAGGCTAACCACTTGCCATGGTTGTTCTGGGACAGGAAGAGGCTGCAGTAGTCCCGCCTTTTTCTGCTTGCTGCTCTTCATCCGCTGACATGTATCACACGAGGTGACGAATTTCTGGACGTCGTCTGCCATATGGGGCCAGTAGTAGTGTTTGGCGATACCGGTGAGCGTCTTGTTGCTACCGAAGTGTCCGGCGTAGAGGACGTCGTGGTATTCTTCGAGTAGTAACTGGCGCAAAGGAGGGTAATTGGGTACCCAGATTTTTGTGGATCCCTTCCGGTACGCGATGTCACTGTCCCACTGTAGCAGATGTCGCTTTTCTGCCAAGGAAATTTCGGGGTCGATGGCATACCCGTGTGTGAAGAGTCCCTTGAGTAGTGGATTCATCCCTTCGACCTGAATCGCGGCAACGTGTGCAGGCCGGCTGAGCGCGTCTGCTTTGTTCTTGTGGCCGGGCTTGTACACGATGTCGTAGTGGAAGTGTGTCTCGAGGAAGTCGATCCACCGGACCTGCCGCCTGGAAAGGTTGGGTTGTGTCTTCAAATATTTCAGGCTGCAGTGGTCGGTGTAGACGGTTGTTCTTCGTCCTTCGAGATAGCATCTCCACGCTTTGAAGGCGATGATGATAGCAAGAGCCTCTTTGTCGTGTATCGGGTAGTTGAGTTCTGCCCCGTGCAGTTTCTTGCTGAGGTAGGCAATGGGTTGCAGTCCATTCCCTTGGTCTTGCATCAAGACTGCTCCCACGGCCTGATCACTGGCGTCTGCTTCAATGACGTAGTCACGTTCGGGATCTGGCAAGATGAGCACCGGTGCGGATGTTAGTGCTTGTTTCAGCTGCTCCACGGCTTCCTGGTGCTTTGGTTCCCATTTGTAGGGCGTGTTCTTCTTCAGCAGATTCGTGAGTGGTGCTGCGATTTTCGCATATTGTGGCACGAACCTGTTGTAGTAATTAGCGAAGCCTAGGAACTGCTGCAACTCCTTCACGTTCTCGGGTGTCTTCCACGTACGTACGGCTTCGATTTTCTTGGGGTCGACGTGAACTCCTTGAGCGCTCACCATGTGGCCTAGAAATTGGACCTTCTCCAGGGCGAATTCGCTCTTGGACAGTTTGACGTAGAATCGTTCCCGTCGAAGAATTTCGAAGATGCGTCGCAGGTGTTCGACGTGCTGCTTCATGTCGCGCGAGTAGATGAGGATGTCGTCCAGGTACACCACCACGCATTCGTCCAGAAGTGGTCGTAGAATGTGGTTCATTTCGGCTTGGAACGTTGCCGGCGCGTTGGTGAGTCCGAACGGCATGACCA